AAAAAAAACTTATTTTCCAAAATTTTGATTATATGATTATATGAGTTTTTGGAAAACAAAAACCAAAAACTCATCGGGAAACTATTACTCTAGCTGAATGTGAAGGTCCTGGTCAAGCTTTTAGAATCATATTTATGGCCGATTGATTGTAAAAGAACTCGGATATTTGAGCCTATAAATTAGTTGTTATAGAATGTGACATAAAATATTTGGTAAAAGAGCAAAAAGTTTCTCTAGTTCACCAAATCCATTTAGTGACATTGGTTGATGGGATGAGACCTCTCAAATCTATCATAATATAGTGCAACGTAAAAGAAAAGGGGCTTCTTTTTAGCCGTTTAACTAAGAACATTAGAATGTATCAAAAGTGATATAAATAAATTTGTAAATACCATAGTTGATTAACTTGGTCAAACTCTATAGATAACTACAAAGATAGGTCAATCGCAACTAATTTTAGTGATCGCCATTAATCATTTACAAATCAAGTAGGTTTCCATCATGATATATCACGAAGTAATAGACAAGCCATATGTTTTTTTAACAAAAAACAAAAAAAAAAGTCGGTCCAAAATTAATGTTTTATGTGCATGACCGACCCATGATGCACACGTGTTAACTCCTTCAAGACTTGATCTCTAAATTTCTTTTGTTCATTAAGAATTTCATTGATCCGAATCTGTTATATTCCCACCAACTTTTTCACCATCCACTCCAATTTAAACACAACCCATGCTTTTAATAATTGATGGGTTTTGAATAAATATCCAAACGAACCCTCTTTGCGTTTGCATATATATAAACACATAACAAGAAGTGAATCTCACAGCTTATTCTAAGGGAGATACAAGTCACTAAAACAGAGAATCCAAGAACAATACGCAACAATGAAGAAGAGACTAAGCTTGAAGCAAACCCTGGTGACTCTCTCCGATGCATGTTTGTGCATAAAACATCTTGAGAGTAACAAGATTCAAAATTCTAACACAGAGATCAAGAACGGATCTGTATTTCCCGAGGATGATTCGGTGTCTGAAGAAAAGGCTGTAGCAGGAGGAAGGAGAATCAAAGTGGTGATAACTAGGAAACAGTTAGATCGCTTGTTGGCGAAGCAAGTTTCGTTGGAGCAGCTGCTATTTGTTAATCAGAGAACGATCCTCAGATCTTTCGACGACAATAAGTGGAAACCAGGTCTTGAATCTATCCATGAAACACCTGAATTGTAAGGATTTGGTGTTTATGTTTTGGTAATAACTTAGAGCACATAATGTAAATATCATCAACTCTTTTTTTACTTCAGTATTGTTTTACTGACAAAGTTTTATAGAGAAACATAGCAAAAACAGGGGAAAACAGAGCAAGACAGACTGAAAAAAAAAAATTTACGGCTAAATCCCAATATCCAATGATTAAAATTTGCCTTCATATGTTTCTTTTGTTAATGAATATGATCAAAATCCCAATATCCAATGATTGAAATTTGCCTTCGTATGCTTCTTTTAAAAATGAATATGATCAATGCTACATCAAACACAGGAATATTATTGTATGTTAAAGAAAAAAAGTTGGAAACTAAAATTCTGTTCGAAAAACACAAGTAACAAACAACAAAGAAAACTCCAAAATGTCTTGTTACTTCGTATTTTGGAATATCGCTTCTAAAGCATATCTCTTTTATGCTACTTCTGAATCAATCAATCAATCCTCAAAGTTCTTTCTTTTCTTACCACAAATGACTTTACCCGCGGCAAGATCGCGTTTCTTCTTTTCCCACTTCATTCTATCTTCTTCTTGCACACAGTGTGAGATGAGCTCATGAGTCGACCATTTCTCTTCCAGATGGTTATAAGTATTCTTAAGTAGATCATACTCTGAGGGCAGACTATCGAGTAACATATCTGCCACGAGGGCAGAATATGCATCCCGAGTTTCTTTATCTTAGCTGCAATGCTCATCTTCGTCATAATATACTCTCTAACACTCTCATTCGCTTTTTTCTTCGAGCAAAACTCAGCTGTCACCCTACCGATCTCTGACATCTCATGTTTCGCATAGCATTTCTCAACCGCGGCTAAATATTCTTTGGCTGTCGTAACGTCCTCGGGGATAATGCCTCTGAATTTTGGAGGGATCCGGATTCTCATTATCATCATACTAATGCGGTTGGAACGGTCCCAATACTTGGTTTCATCAACACACTTATCGGCATCCGGACGCTCTTCCATGAGCGAAATATCGAGATCCATGAGGGCAAGCACAAGCAACAAATGTTCTTTCCATTCCGGAAAATTTGACCCGTTTAGCATCGGGATCGACTCGACATTAGAAAACGCAGATGTTAATCCAAACGCTGAAAATAGGGAACAAGATTGTGTCACATATGATATATAGCAAATTTGGAATACAATTGCTAAATAAAATTCCTCATTTCCTACAGTAGGATACAAGAGCAACAACAATGGCTTAAAACATTTAGCAAAGATTCCTTTTTCTCCAACCTTACCATTACGGTTTGGGGATTATATAATGCAGTCTCCAAGGTTACGTGTTATTCTTAAAGTGAAGGAAGCACAACAAACTCTAATGGATCATACAAAACATGATTATCTCTAAATTCAGACAAGAAGATAATCAAATACGGAATCTAACGACAGATCAATTGCCGTACAGCGTAGCAAAATCAAGAAACCTAATGAGAGACCAGACAAAACGGAAAACATCAAAGTCACAAAATACCCTAATCTTCGACCTCACGCTTAGGGTTTGGTGATTCCATTACAGAACCGAAAGATTCTCACACAATTGACTATAAATGACCACAAAATTGACATGCATTCCCACAAATCACTAGAAAAAGAGTAAAAGACCATGACTAACAGATCAAAGAGGCACGAAGCCGAAATACTAACCTCCATTGTTTTGAAGAAAAAAAGACCTCGCATAACAAAATTCGTAAAACCCTAATTATAAAGATATCGAAAACAGACGATTAACCTGGATTCATGGTTACGACGCTTAGCCGTACTGTGGGTTTCTGATTGAAGCGTAACCCTAATTACTGCGAAGTTTGGATGTTTCCACACTAAAGAATGTGATGGTAACGAATTATATCATCAAAATATTCTCTCATTAATTTGCAAAAAAAATAAAATATATATTCTCTCATTATCTTATAAATCGTAGGGGTAATTTTGTCATTTGGTTTGTTGTTGAAAAAAAAGTAAAAACGCATT